TACATATATATATATAGATAGATAATGCCTTGACAAAGGTTGGCGTTCAGCCAACTGAAATATTGATTTAAAAAAATTTGTTTTTTTCAATCTAATATATGCCTTTTTATTATATAAATATTCAAATATAGATTGCTCTATTTTCAGATCCATTTATATTATTAGAAATAAAAAAGGCATATCCTGACCGTGCTCACATAACCATTTTTAGATGGAACAAAAATAAACTAAACATTTATTTAACTTGTTCCGTTATATTTGGCCAATCCAATTTCTTGATATAACGTGTGATCAATAATTTCCAGGAATATGACTGGATCACGTAAAATATTCAAAATAATGAAATAATTTTATAAGGACCTTAGAGATTAAAAAAAAATTGCAACACGTAGAAAAAAAATTGATCGCACAGTCGCACGCGCTCACGTTTTTTCGAATTTATAAGCTCGAGTATTTCAGAACATTTTCTAACTTCAGTATTGACTGTTATGAAAAACAGCGAGTCTGCATAGAGTTTTGCTTTAAATTAGGGAAAACAGCTTCAGAATCATTTCAAATGTTGAAGCAGGCTTTAAAATAAGATGCCCTATCACAATCGAGGACATTTGATTGGTTTGGACGATTTAAAGGTGGTCTAACAAGCGTCAAGGATGATCTACACACTGGCAGACCTTTATCGATAAGAAACCCCGAAAATGCTCTCAAAATCAAGTCATCGATCAAAGAAAACCCAAGAATAACTATCAGAGAGCTATCAGAAGACTTGGATATCTCTTTTGGAGCATGCCAAACCATCAAAAAAGAATGATCTGCATCTTGAACGATCCCCGGCTGAATTTGTCCCATATCTCTTAACGAATGAACAGAAAAAGCATCGCAAAGAAACGTACAAAAAATGGTCGAAATGTTTAATTCTAATCCCCATTGGCTCAAAAATGTTATCACAGGAGATAAAACATGGGTGTACGAATATGATCCCGAGACTAAGAAGCAATCAAGCCAGTGGCTAGAGCCTTGAGAACCAAGATTCAAGAAAGCAAGGATGATCAAATCGAAACTTAAGTGTCTTCTTATCACTTTCTTTATTGTAAAGGGATTGGTACACAATGAATTCGTTTTCGAGGGTCAGACCATTAATCAGCATTACTATCTTGATGTATTGCGCCGTTTAAGGGAGGCTGTGCGTCAGAAACGACCAGAAAAATGGGATAAAAAAAATTAGCTCTTGCAACATGACAACGCACGGCCACATACGGCCGTCACTGTACAACTTTTTTTGGCTAAACACGGAATTGCTTTACTACCCCACCCACCCTATTCTCCTGACCTTGTTCCCAAAGACTTTTTCCTTTACCCTAAAATTAAAAAAGTATTAAAAAGACGTCGATTTGACTAAATATCTTAAATAAAGGAGAATACGAAGTATATTTTGAAAAACCTGAAAGATGAGGATTTTCAGAGGTGTTTTGTTATCTGGAAAAAAAATTTGAAACAAGTGTATAGATAGTGACGGTGATTATATTTTGGGAAATTTAAAATAAAACTTTATTATACTTTTGTATTTTAAAAAATATTTAGCATTCCTGGAAATTATTGATAACACTATGTAAATCAAGAAAAGTCAACCAGGAACGTGTTTCGGGCTGTTGGCCCTCGTCAGCGTGCTGCAGAATATTTATATTATATATTTATTTTTTTTTCTACAGGTAAACTCCGTACAATTGGTATAAGTGTATAACGAATCAAAAGTTTTTACGAAGGAGTATCTTTTATTATATTTGTGCAAGCTTTCAAACTTTGCAGTTCTTCCACAGGCATGTATAGCACAGAAATACTACCCTGTGCTATCCATGCCTGTGGAAGAACTGCAAAGTTCGAAAGCTTGCACAAATATAATAAAAGATACTCCTTCATAAAAACTTTTGATTCATTATACAATTATATATTTATATCACTATATGGCAGCAAACATATCAATATAAATGGTATATGCAAATTTGATAAAAATATATTTTAGCAAACATTTGTTCTAGTAACAGACAAATATTGTGAGTAAGCAAATCAATTTTATAAATAATTACAAATACTTCCAATAGATGACAGTATTGTGTAAAAGCAAAAAGATTCTATTTATCAAATATATTTTATATAAATAAATAATATATACGATCAATTTCAAATTTTATATATTTATATTTTGTGGAAAAATCATATAATGAATATGTTTGAAATACACCTTCGCCAAAATTTTAAGAATATATTTCCACAAAAAAAAAATGTTAAAATTATATGAAAATTTACATAACTTTAAAATTTTCAAGAGAAATTTTGTGATTTGAAACCTAAATTAGATTGTAATTTTAGCAATTTTGATTATGCGAAAATCTGTTATAGAAAGATTCTTTCCAAAATTAGCAAAAATCTTTGAGAAATTGATTGTCAGAAAAAAATGATGGAATATTTAATTCCCATGCTGAACACAAATCGGTTTCTTGAAAGGACGTTCAATAGAAGAGATCTATCAGAAACACCAAATTGTTCCCGCGGAGAAACTGAACAAACTGCTCTTCACCTTATCTACGACTGTCCAAACTTTACAGAAGTGAGACATCGTGTGTTCCCTGATTTAAATGATATAACTCTTTTACATCAGCCACTTTGTCTATATAAATTTTATGAACTCTGTCGAATAATACATGTAAATTTTTAAATATTTAATCCTTAGTTCTAATCTTCAAAATTTTGATTTTCAAACAGAAATAATGTAATATATGTTTCTCTCAAAATATAATATATATTTAAAATATGTATATAATAATGTGTATATAAAATTGTATTTATTATTAAGTTGTTAACGTGATACTCCTGTTGAAGGACTGACAAGTCCGATAGCTTGAAAATAAAAAGTTGCACAAGAAACTTATAGCTCTGGAAGCTTCGTTTATTTTATAATGTTAGTTCTAATTTGTTTGCTGTTTTGTTTTCTCTGTATTAGGCGCAAATATTTCAATATCGTGCCTGGTTGATTAATAAATTAATGAAAATCTGCTATAGAATGATGAATTCTTGTTGATGTCATCATTCACAAAGCACCTCTCTGAAGATTATATTGTCAAGAAGCTCCATGGGACACCTGTCAATCATCCCTGTACCCCGGGGGGGAGGGGGGGGAGGCACAGGTGTGAGGGGATCTTGAAATCTTATCTGCAAATAAGGAAAACGGGACGGTGGCTGACGTCGCTCATCATTATTATCTTTACCTTGGGATAAGTTGTTCTCCCTATAAATACCTCTTGTATATAATTTTATTGGAGAACTGAAAGGTAAATACCCACCTTTATAATAAATTAATTATTCCCAAATTTGCCCTTGCTTTATTTATCTCCGCGACAATATGAACTGTTTAACACACACTCTCTCTCTTTCTAATTTCCAATATCATGCATTGGCACGCCATCTGTATTGATAAATTGAAACTATAATAGGCGTTTATGTTTCTTTTAAAAATTAAACAAATATCCACTGCCCTTACTGCAATGATAATTTCCCCCCTAAATTCAGAAGGATATTTTATTTAGTCTCAAAGATGAATCTTTTCGGTTTATATATTTTTGAATATTTAACTGATGAATTTTTTCTTATCCCTAGTACACGTGGTGCAAGCCATGATAATCATTGTGGGTAGAAGTAGGCGACTGCTTTTAATCTAACTGCACCACGTGTCTACGCATGTGAAAAGCAGTTCGACTTTGCATTTACAAATGTAACAGAGCCCCGTTTGGTTACTTGCACTCGCTGGTGGGGTTAGACTTTTGCAAGAATCGGAGGCCATTAGAGAATTTTTTTTATCAGAAAAAAGTGCCCAATGCGGGAATCGAACCCAGGTTTTAGCGGTCGAAAACCAACGGTTTAGACCATCCTTCCACTCACCCTAACTGCTGTGTGTGTGTGTGTGTGTGTGTGAAAATACGAAGAGTTATTGTGCTTAGCTTTGATTTATTGATGAAGAAAACGACCTGGAACTTTTGTTTCTAGAAAATGGTTCATGAATTGTTTCATCTTCCATTCCAATGTAGATTAAGTGATTGAACACACGTTGGTAAAATCTCTTTTTCTTTCTTATCTCCACTCAATCATATCAGGATATCAAGCTTGTAGAGGTTGTTGATGGTGTCTGCTGGGGATGTGTCTTCTTCTTCCTTATCTCCACTCAATCATATTAGGGTATCAAGCTTGTAGAGCTTGTTGATGGTGTCTGCTGGGGATGTGTCTTCTTCTTTCTTATCTCCACTCAATCATATTAGGGTATCAAGCTTGTAGAGCTTGTTGATGGTGTCTGCTGGGGATGTGTCTTCTTCTTTCTTATCTCCACTCAATCATATTAGGGTATCAAGCTTGTAGAGCTTGTTGATGGTGTCTGCTGGGGATGTGTCTTCTTCTCTCTTATCTCCACTCAATCATATTAGGGTATCAAGCTTGTAGAGCTTGTTGATGGTGTCTGCTGGGGATGTGTCTTTTTCTTTCTTATCTCCACTCAATCATATCAGGATATCAAGCTTGTAGAGCTTGTTGATGGTGTCTGCTGGGGATGTGTTTTCTTCTTTCTTATCTCCACTCAATCATATCATGATATCAAGCTTGTAGAGGTTGTTGATGGTGTCTGCTGGGGATGTGTCTTCTTCTTTCTTATCTCCACTCAATCATATTAGGGTATCAAGCTTGTAGAGCTTGTTGATGGTGTCTGCTGGGGATGTGTCTTTTTCTTTCTTATCTCCACTCAATCATATCAGTAATCAAGCTTGTAGAGCTTGTTGATGGTGTCTGCTGGGGATAAGTCTTCTTCTTCTTTCTTCTCTCATTAGTAGAGGTATTAGTAGAGCTCATCAATGGATGAGTCAATACGTTGGTATAATGATTTCATGTTATGGACAGCCAAGTATCTAGACGCCCTCTAGAGGTGACCTCCCATTTCAACATCAGAGGATTTTAGTTATAGTTTTTCCTCAATAGCTCAGTTGGCACAGCAGAGGACTGTGGATGTATAAACGGTGTTCCTTAGGTTGCTGGTTCAAATCCGGCTCGAGGGACTTTTTTTTATATTTTAAATTAGATAACTTAATATTCTCAATATCTCAAAGAGTCAACCATAATATAACAAAAGTAAAATTATATATTTGTTATATTATTTTCAGATGACTTTTGATAAAATTCTTTGCTTCTTTTTTGATGAATATATCTAATATAATAATTTATATATAGTGAGAGAGTAGAACCTCCATGATAGGACACTCACGCTAGAAGACACCTCTCTATAAAGGACAGTTTTCATTTACAAAAATACCCTTTTTACTATTTAGCAACACTCCGTTAAGAAGACACCTCTCTCTGAAACTAGGTGTCCTTTACAGAGAGATTCCACTGTATATTTAAAGTGTTTTAGATAGCGTCATTAAAGAAACATGAAGCTTATTATTTCAACATTTAAAAAATAACAAAAGTAAAATTAAGAAAAAAAAACATTTTCTGATCGTGCAACGAAAAGTTGCTAATGGCTTGCATCATCAGTAAAATTGTAACTTTGTCAATTTGTTTCATATTCATATAATAATATTTATTTATGAAAAAGGCATCTCCTTATCATGCAACTGAAATTTTCTGATTGTTTGCGCCATCTATCGGAATAAATATTAACTATTCTTGTTGATTTTTAATTATTCCAGAATTGGCCAAATACCCATTATTGATTAATCAGTTGTATGATAAGGAGATGCCTCTTTCATAATTTGCACCTTATCCCAGTAAAATATCACATTTGTACTATTTTTCACAATATTTATTTAGTTCATTCGTTTTTTTTTTTTTTCAATTTAACAAAAAAAAAAAGTCCCTCGAGCCGGATTAAAACCAGCGACCTAAGGATCACCGTTGAAACATCTACAGTCCTCCGCTCTGCCAACTGAGCAATCGAGTGATTTAATAAGTTGACCTAAAAAGATTTAATAACGTTGTAATATGGGAGGTCACCGCTAGAGGACGTCTAGATAGTTGATTGTCCGTAAAATTGTCATGTAAAAAATTAGGGAAGACAAACCTAAGGATGAAACAGCAATTTATTTTATGCACAGGTACAAACTAAAATTTATAAAAATACAAGCATAAAATAAGTATACATAGTATTAAATATACAATATTCACTACATAGCTCCTTCCCTATGGGAGCTGTGACTCACTGCTAGTAAATCTTTTTAATACTGACATGGATCGGACGTGCTTTTGTCGAGGATTCCCTCGAAAGTCTTGGAACTTTGTCCCTAGTACATTTACGTCCTATTTCTTGCGGCGTGAAGAGCAGCTTTGTCGTTGTACCGTCTATAGGGACATCTTTATCTTGGAGGGTAGTCTTGTCTTTAATACAGCGGCAATATCCTGGCGTCAATAGATTAAAATGTAGATCACAACACCTCAAAGTATTCACCGTTATCTTCAGTGTTGTCTTTCCAAATCTACCCAGCATCTCCATTGAATGTCATGTAGACAATTAGGAAAGACAAACTCGCAATTGAGGCCCGCGCTGATCCTTCATTCAAATAACTGTAAACACCCAAAGCATTTTATTTAATTTTAATTCTTCTTCTATTGGCGAGTCAATGTAAATAGTTTTCCCGTAGAAGGGCTTTCTTGCCCGAAAGCTTGAGATATTTATAAATAAATGATTTGTTAACAAGAAACCTTTCACTGTAGGCCTAATGTTTGTATTTTAACATTTGTAAGTGCAAAATTTGAACTGCTTTCTATATATGTAAACATTTAGTGCTATTATATGAAGCAGTCGCCAACTTCTACCCACCATGATTATCATATTCTTGTACCGCGTATACCAAGGGAGGAGAAGGATGATAATTAGATTAATATTAAAACAATATTTTACTGAAGCAATCTCTATAAAGTCTTGTTATAAAACTTATAATATAGAATTTAACCTCCCTTTACGGACACCCTTCCACAAAAGACAGTTTTCATTTGCAAAATAACCATTTTTACCATTTAACAATTATCTGGTAGGCGGACATCTCTCCCTAAAGGGAACTTTGGCTCTGCAATTAAGTGTCCTTTACAGGGAGGTTCTGCTATACGAGCAGCTATTTACATTAAAAATAACGAAATTGGGTCCCCAAAACACCGGTTGATAATTTTAAAACTCTGATAGAATTCTCATTTTGAAATAAAAATTTATAATGTGATCAATTTACATAGCAGAGAATATTTTACCAAATCCATAAATCAATGATAGCTATACGAGATGTTAAATTAAGCCTGATTGATATCAACAAAGGAAGATCAAACATGTCAATTAGGGAAAGAAGAGAGTTTACCGGTAGAGTTTACTACGGTTGCAAGACCAGGCCATTTGTTTCAGATACTACACGTTGTAAAGGAGAAGAGGAAAGGACTCCAAATTTTGATCTGGGCGGCATCAGGGCTGTAAGGTAATGACCTCTTGTTTTATAGGCCGCACTCTGCAAATGCTTAAAGAATTTATCAAGATGGCATTAGGGCTGGAAGATCTGACCGTTTGTTTTAGATGATTCCACAGATTGTGAAAGCTCACGGAATTGGTGAGAACGGCATTACAACTGCGATATCTGGTTTGAAGATTGTACGTTGCTGAATAATTTTGGACAGGCGGCTCTATAGCTGTTAATATATCTTTCTTTCATATGCACTCTTTCTTCTTCTTCTTCTTTCTTATCTCTACTCAACCATATTAGAGTATCAAGCTTGTTTGACAACCATTATGACTGGGTGAAGTAGAATGCGTCTGCCTTTGTCATTAAGTCTGGGAGCACTATTCAGTGGCAGGCCTACTTAGCTCCAAAAGAAATGGCCGCCTCTGACATGAGGAACAGACACCATATGCAGCCGCTCCTAACATGGAGTACAAACGCTGCTCATTCTGTATCCCTGGATTAAGAGCCCTTACAGGGTACTATCAGCCAAGCCAGCTGAGCCCAGGTTTTTAGTGAGCTTGTTACTGCTCCCCCTCCTTCTTTTTCATACGGGCTTGGGACCGGCAAAGGCGGAATTTTATGCACTCTGGACTCCTGGAACGGACAAAAGTCGCCAACTGTCCGGGTAGAAATGATAAATATGGATCAGTTTCTCATTTTGAAATTGAAACATATAATGAGATACAATTTACATAGCAGAGAATGTTTTACCATTGCATAAATCAATGATAACTATACGAGATGTTGAATTAAGCCTGATTAATATCAACAAAGGAAGATCAAACATGTCAATTAGGGAGAGAAGAGAGTTTACCAGTTCCGTGGTCCTTGAACTCCGCCCAGTATCCCATATATACCGCCACCATCGGACACCGGATCATACATCCTCAGCTCAACCTAAGGTAGGTGACGTAACCATCAATCTCTCTTTCAGTCAATATTTAATTTTCTCTTTCATAAAATTATAAATAAGTTAAAATTATTTCAAATTGAAGAATTAAAACAGTTTTATATTTCTTTATTAAAATATATATGCCAAGATCTCATGAGAGAGTAATAACCTGTTCAAAAATAACTTTATTAGGTTCCGCTCAAAAAGAACAACATAGCTTATGTTATGATGCACTAGCGTGCCATCTGTTATGAAATTTCAAAACTATTTAAATTGTTTAATTTCAAAAAGAATCTTACGCGTCTAAAATAGTTTCGAATTTTCAAAGGTTATGATATTTACAATGAATAATATGTACAGGTTCTTCACATATAAAAAAGTGTCTAATGCGAGATTCGATCCCAGTTCATGGCTGTCGGATATTGACGGTATATATCACCGGCCACCGACTTATGAGAATTAACCTATTCTATAAAGGCTATATTTACACAATATTATATCAATCAATCAATACTTATTTTGAATGTAAATCTACTGTCCTAAAAGCTTATGTCAATAGTTTTCTCAAATACCATTTATAAGATTCTACCTTTCAATGTAGCATATAAAAGCAGAATGATCCAATACAGTATTAGAGCTCTAAAGAAGCGGTCTGGTAGATTAAATTGGCGAAACCGCTGGGAGGATTCACCACTGATGAGCCAAACCCTTCCAATATTTTTTCATCGCAGTGAGGACAATAGAAGTTTGATTTTTTTGTGAAAAGAAAAATTCGCGTTTTGGTGTTTTCATTTGTATCATATAGATGGCGCGTTATTGCCATATATTAATAAATAATTTTATTAAGGCATTTATTCTTATAAACAGATTCCTTCAAGAGATACATAAAAGGAATGTAAGAAGAATATGATAAAGAAATTCGAATTTACAAAGTCTATGGGAACATGTAGATTTATAGCTATAATTTATTCGGAATAATATTATATAGCTTAATATTAAGATATCCTCTTCAATTAGAGTATATAAATTCACAAAATATCATATGTTTGACCTCTAGCGGGAATATCTTATAATATACACTGCGTGACATTGAAAATGGAACACCAAGAAATAGTGGCCAGAAAGTGATGAAACTCGGCAGACAGAGAGAGACAGGGACGAACAATAAGTGATCTTTATTTCAAAATGATAGTCATAATACAGAGCGAGAACGGCGTCGGCTTAGTAGCAAGTAGGACCACCGCGGACGGCGATGCACGCAGCAACACGTCTAGGTAGAGAGTCAATCAGAGTACGGATGGCGTCCTGAGGGATGGCTCTCCATTCCCTCTCAACCATTTGCCACAGTTCGTCTTCTGAACGCGGCTGTGGCAAGGCATGCAAACGGCGTCCAATGATGTCCCAGACGTGCTCGATTGGTGAGAGATCAGGAGAGTACGGTGGCCAGGGAAGCATCTGTACATCTTGCAGAGCTTGTTGGCTAATGCGAGCAGTGTGCGGTCGGGCGTTATCCTGCTGATAAAGGGCATTGGGTACCCCCTGAAGGTAGGGGAGTGTCACCGGTCGCAGCACATCATCAACGTATCGTTGGGCCGTCATAGTGCCCTGAATACGAAGTAAAGGTGACCTGGAATCATACGCGATTGCGCCCCAAACCTTGATTCCACGTTGTCGCACGGTGGGGCGT